GGGGGGGATTAATTATATTAAATTAATTGGATAAGTGCAACAATGGCAACTGTGTGATAAAGATTCACATTAAAAATCATGACATCATTGCTGAGAGATTTATAGGTTTGACAGATGTTGGCAGATGTTGAAATGTACAGCTTGCACACACACACACACACACACACACAGTGAGTGAGTGTATGAATGTGTCTTTGAGGACTAGAAGAGTGTTCTGTACAGCGAGTTATCCTCTTTGTGCTGTAGCCTTGTTGTGGGCGGCTGAACTTCAGCGACGGTGGCAGCAGGTCTGGTGAACTCGGCACAGCGAGATTCCAGGATCAGCGTGTTCTTTCAAGGACAAAGACCTGAAGTGAGTGTAATAAATGCTCGAGACAGTAAAAGCACAAGATCACTGACATAAAAACACTCTTTCTGACATCTAAAGACTACATGAATTATTGATTAATCATAAAAAAGGACTGTGTAATGAAGAAACAGCAACATTTCTTGGCTGTTTATCTTTTATGTTGCCTGATAAACATTTTATAGAAGCGATGGCATCTATTTATGGAGAAGAACCTTTTAAAATAAACATTTCTTTAGACGACGTGTTTAGGAATCCCATGAGCAACAATTAGCTGGAAATTGGTTCCTGCCAATAAATATTTCTATCTTAACTCTCTCTTCTTTGGATCATGATGTGCTCCACGTTTTCTCTACGTAACACGTGTCTGCTCATTATCAAGTTCCCCTTGTTTAGGCATGCCTCTGCCGCTGCTTGATAGTTAAAAAAGAGACACCAGGATTTACTCCACAACAAAATATAATTTAATGAATTCACTTTTCACTGTGTCGATCACAAATCTATATTGATGTAAAAAAAAGAAAAAGAAAAAGATCCAGTGCTCTCTTTTGTCTTAATGTAAGGCATGCAGTCTCCACAGAGCTTTGGACATTGAAAGCTACAGGTCATTACAATAGGACACACTGACACTCAGCCACAAATACACACAAAAGCGCTCATAGTATCCACTCTTCTTGGGGCCCAATAAACATTTATTCTTTGCACATACAATGAGTAGAAGTGGGATTCATCACAACACCAAAAGTATAGTAGTTCACAAATAGCAACAGGATACGCTAACACTTCCACTTTCTACCCTCTCGGCTCTTGAGGAATAAATGGTATGGTGCCGCTGGAATACTTTCACATGTGAGTTACATCGATGGTTACAGAAAAAGGGGGTTAGTAGCATTAGACTAGCACATTGTGTGAGCATGTTGCACATAAAATGAGGGTGACTTTAACAGCCGTGACTCTTGCATTCAACCCTATGCAGCGAGCCCTTTTAGAACTAGTTTTCTGAACCAGTGGAGCCTGTAAAAATGAGTTTCATCATTCAGTGAGAAGGACGGCCTTCATTTGGAAGTTACATTGAAATGCTGCTGTTGTAACTCTCATATAAAAAGTGCCGACATTTTTTCGTGTCTATGGTGCAAAATCCTAATGACCTCTGGGATTCAAAGTGGCCTTAGCTATATAAATACAATTATATATTTGCCTCCATATAAAAATAAAATTAGCAATACACAAATATTGCACACCTAAGGAGTTTAGATTTATCAGATTACTGACAAGCTACTCAGGAAAATGTACAAACATGGAAATAATAAACCTTCTGGTGCTGTATAAATAAATATTTAGATATTCAGTTTTAATTCCCTATGCATGCAGCATGTCTTTCTGGCTGTGTGGGGGCCAGGTGGGGCAGAGGTGGAGTCACGGCTGCCAAGGGGAGATGGAGTTGGGCTGTGCGGCGGGTGAAGGTCACGGTGAAGCAGCAGGTAGTTCTCAAGGACAAATGGGGCGGAGCTCCTCAGTGCTGCTGCGCCTCCAGCTCTCTCTGGCGACAGCCCACGGCAGTGATGAGGGCGGCCCCCTTGCCGCTGCCGTCCTCCGATAGCAGGAAGTTGACGTCACATTTTGTGGCAAGTTCCTTCACCGTCTGCTGGAAGATCCGGGAGAAGCTGAGGGCAGAGAGCAACAGGAAACTGTGGTTAGAGGCACTTCGCTACTGAACTCAGAGAAATGAGAAGTAGAAGCAACAAATATGGCTATAACTCAAGTATTACTGTGAGGATGAGGAGCAGGCCAGAGCAAGTAAAGTTCATTTAGGGCCTGTCTCAAGAAGATGGATTATGATACCTGGATAACAATCGATAAACTAAAGTTACAAGAGCTCCTGGATGTGCAGTTGTCCAGCTACCATGCTAATCCTGGTTCACGAGACAGTCCCCTAGTAGACCCTTGATTTACAGGAACTAAGATGTCAACCTTTGAATGCTTCTGCAAAAAGAGCTTGACTAAATGCAGTGCTTCTATTACTTTTCTATGCAAAGAGGCAAATTACTTGCAAAAAAGAATGATGGTATCACAGGTGACAAGACTGTTAAATAACGATTAAGAAATTGAAGTAGTGGTAAGTGTTTGAGGGGCCCAAAAGACAGGTTTCCGTCAGTTAAACGAAATGAAAATAACACGTCAACATGAAAGGCAGAAGTAGGATTTTGTGTTGCTGTAGCTTCCTCTTGAATGTGTGCTTAAAAGCGGACAATCTGGATCTGCAAGTTGTTATTTGCTGGGGGCTACACACCCACTGCCCAAAGGTCGACGCCCAGAAACGTCCTGAACACAGCAAAATGAGAAAATACAGGGGCGGGTCTCTGCTGATAGAGACACAGCGGAACACTTTTAGATCCTACACATTCTGCCTTTAACCCCTCTCTTACTGCTGCCCAAATATTCCTACAAATATGACACAGTTAACCTTTAGACAGTTTGAGAAATAGTTTTCAGGTAATGTCTGAAAATTACTTGTTTTGTCAACAGTACAAAACCAATAAATGTATACATTTTGCTTTTCTGTCAACCAGCTTGTCTTATCTTATGAAGGGCCTTTATTATAAGTGTTCTGAGATTTTAGAAGCAGTATTAAGTGTGAAAAAATGATCTAAAATACTATGATTAATAATGAGTTCCTTGCCACTTCCATCCACTCTTCTGAAATAACTGATACAAGGAAATAAAAAAGATACAACCTTTGCAGCTTGATGAAATTCAATACATATTGTAGTGTTTAAGAATGAATGGGCACCTTTTCCTCCAAACACGCCCTCTATTATGTTCTATATGTCTTACTGTGGGTGCAGCTTGTACAGCGTGCCGTCCACGCCCACGGTAATATCCAGGTGGTCCAGTCCTCTGTTCTCACGGATCTTGTCCACCACTGCAGCCATTCCGGCTCCACAGATCTGCGCCGCGCGGCGGGACACCGTGCCACACACCTCCTTGACGATAATACTGTCATCACAGGTGCTGTCGAGCCCCAGCTGCTGCAGGATCGCCCTGACCTGCAGCAGCGCCAGACGATCGCTGTGGACCAGGAGGGGCGGGGGGGAGAGTGTGTCAGAGGTCAGCCAACAGCAGGAGTGACACCAGATACCTCACAGCTGCTTCAGAGGCTAAGGTAGGCTTAAACAGTGTATAAACTCAAGTCGTCACATTGCCTGCCCCTCCTCCTCTCATACCTAGGTGTGTTATCCCCCTAGATGCTACATTTCTGTGAACAATGCTGCTTAACCATGTGCTTTTATGCACTCATCCTCTTGCTCATACTGCTGTTTTTATATGTCTTAACCATAGACTGCATAGAAATAATTAGATATATATTGTATTTTACAGCGTGGCCATCTGTTTCTGGTGTTTCAGGGTTTTTAATTTGGTTTTTCAAACCTCCAGGCAGCCACCAGTTTCCATTCATTTCACTGCAGTATGAAAATCAACATGAACGTATTTGTTATACGTAGATAATCCATTACATTGAAGATCATATTTGCTTTGACAGATACCATTTTAATATTTAAGTTATAGTTGTGTGGTTATACAGTTTATTAGTGCAGATTGATTCAAAATTATCATACAAGAATGATGTAAATATGACAAAAATGAAAGCAGACATGCCTTTCTCTGTACTTTAAATTGTATTTCTGCAACTTAATATTCATACTATAAGGGAGGTAGGAAAAACACGCTCTAGGCTTTGGAAAATGGTTGGCATTTTTACTAAATGGACTAAACATGCACAGCCTTTGGTATGGTTCTTTTTAAAGACCGGGCCACCCTCGGGTACTGTTAGTTATCAATTTGTGATATTTGGTGTAGACAAAGAAATTGGACTGGGGTTATTTGTTATCATTTATTATTTTGGTAAATTTCTTTCAGTTTATGACAGTACAAATACTTGTTTGTCTGCCTTTGGACAAAAAGTTGGTGATCTGAACACTGATGTGAAGTGATTCACTCACCTCTCTATCTGTGACAGGAACTTTGTCTCAAAGATGCCCCTGGTCTTCAACGTCTCTGAGATTTGTCCCCGGAAGAGGTAGCCTCGCTTGGTCAGATCAATCAAAATCTGCCTGACGATCTCTCCGAGGTACATACCGCTGCACATCTTCTCATATCTGACATGTATAAGAAAGATACCATCTTAAGTTAGTGGTAAGAGGATAAAACACTGGACATTAGACATTAGATCGCTATCGGGTTTTTCAGACGATATAGTTTGACACTGGAGGTGTGTTGACCTTTGTTTGCCTTCGTTGAGCGAGTTCTCGTCCACCGCCTGGTCGTACTGTGTCCTGATGTCATCCAAACAGCCGTTGTCTCCAAACGCCCCCCACTCCATATTGACACACATACGGCCTTCGTTTCCCTCCACTATCTCGATGTTCTTTGTCTCTTCCATGTAACAGGCGTTACTGCCTGTCCCTGAGAGGACACAGACACGTTGCATCAGTCTCAAAAACCCCAAACGGTACGTCATTTTAAACATACAAACCCAAGACATTTCTAACTGTGGATTAGTGTTTCCTATTTGTTCTGTAGACAAAAATCAAATAATACAACAAAAATGTGAGTGTACAAGTTCATCGCCTAATTGTATACCAAGTTCTGTCACCTTAAACTTAAAAAACGCAGTGGTGTTTAACTCACCTGCGATCAGCCCCACCTCACAGGTGGGTTCCTCATATGCACAGGTCATCATCGTCCCCACTGTGTCGTTCACTATGGCGACCACATCCAGCTCAAACTCCTGTGAAAACAAACAACTAGAAAATGAATCACTGGTAGAAGTACGATGAAAGCTGTTGTAATAAAAATTTGGTCACTACATTACACAAATCTTACAATTCAAGATTCATGCTTTGTGTTATAATCCAATAAGTTAATGAAGTCATGTTACTTTTAAATGATTAGAATGGTAATGCTAGATACTGTTTTCTTTCTCTCTACAGATTACAAAATGATTCATTTTAACAAAACTCAAATATGTTATTAATACATAATATCACTGTTTCCATCTTAAGTCCACATTTTATATCCAACAATTGTTGCTTAATGGCTTTGTTGACAGAAGGATTAATGTCAGAACTGGCAACTTTTCAAACATCACACGGAGCACAATGCAGTTCACTCACATACCTACACAATAAAAAGCTGTTTCAGAAGAGCCGCAAAAATTCAGCAGCTCTGCCAAACACACACCTTGTCATCACTTTGCTAATTCTGAGCTTAAATAAGACGCCACACTGCAGACACACACTCCTCCACAATATTTGAAAGTAGGTTTTCCAGGTGTTATGACATGCTACCACATCAATAACCACACACTGCTCCCGTCCTGCGCTGCTTTACCTGCCAGTTAATGATTTACAGTCACTTAATACTTACTGCATTCTCCATCTAAAAGGGTAAAATCGATATAAGAAACTTAAAAGTGATGATATAACAATAACAAAACTTCCTGAATACAAAGCAGATGCAATAATCGGTACTAAAATATATTATCCCAGCTCTAATACCATGCCATAATAGGTGCTGTTAAGCTGTAGGTTTACACTGTGGGGGTGGGGCTAATTGTCTTCATGCTGGAACTGCAAAATTGCAGTTCAGTCCAAATGTGTCAGTCAGTATGCTAGGATTAGCATGTAGCCACGTGTTGTTCAGCAGCTTACTGGTATAATATATGTTGTATTGCCGTCTTTCATAAAACACTCTATTAGAGGGTTCCTTATTGCAGTGTTTCAGTGCAGGGGACGTTTTCATTTGTATACTTAATACAACAGTAGTTCTGTACAGGTAGATAAAAGAAACATGTAATGCTAAAGGAAATCTGAACTGAAATCACTTAATCGCATTTAAAAATATTACTGCAGAGGTTGGTTGAAATCCAGTTGGCTGCGTCTGTCAGCTAAGAGGTCTGTTACTCAAACCTTTTGTATGTTTGCCTTTAAAGCAACATGAGAGAACAAACCATGCCCAAACTATACATCCAAAAAAGCTTATGTAAAGTCTTTAAGTTCTGGACAACACTTTCCAAACAAAAACAGACAAACAGAACATCAAGTTAATTCTAACTATCAGGAAAATGGCAGATATTTATACCAAAGTGTTTTTAATTAGGTTTTTATCGCCCTTACTTAATCATACTATTTTTGTCCCAATTTTCTCTGTTAGTGTCTAATTTTCTTACAGCGGCAGCACAAGAATCCCACAGTACGATTGGTTTGTCATATGAAGTTTTAAGTGTTGAAAGTAATGGAGAAGCTAGTGTTTGCGTTGGTGTCGGTGCTGCTGCAGTTCTAGTAACATAATGCATAATGATGATCATGTTTGCGGTTACCTCTTTCCTCTTGATCGCGTCCCGAAGAAGCTCCACCACATCTTCACCCTCACAGTCTGTGGCCTTGAAGCCTTTGGTCCAGGTTACGAGGATACCCTGCAGAGCACACAACACTTACTGTGAAATATCTCATTGTTGGGATAGTACAACACAGTAATAATAACACTCTGTAATCAGCTAAAGGTTGAAGAGGTTAGAGCAGCTAAAAGGTCAGCTCTCGAAATCCTGAACAGGAAGGGAAAACGTGGATGGAGGCAATGGATTAGTAATGCTAATGTGTCCTTTGAACAAGATTCTTTAGTTGCTATTGTTCAGCCACATCTGTACTCTAAACCGAAATACGTTATTTAATCACTTAAACTTCTTGCCACCATTTGCACTGATACTTCTGGTAAGCTCCACCTCTATTGTGAGTTTTTCATTGGCCTGGCTTGGCTGCTGATGTCCGATTATATAATGCCAATATGCAGACAAAGAAAAGTCATGGATAATTCTGTTCTATTCTGTAGGAAATTCAGGCAGCAGGATGCATGAGAGTTACAGTACAGGGCTTGAAAGCAGCTTTTTCCCACCATCCCAAAACTCACAAAGGGGAGTGCTAACATTGTTCTACAGCAGCTACACAGACAAAGCTACCTGCAGACAGTTTTGTTTTTCTGCCTCATGGGCACAGACATTATGCACACATTATACACTAATTATAAAATGCTAGATAATCAGCCTGATTAATCGTGTCTGTCCCTACCTAGATGTGGTTCTTTTTTCCTACTATTTTACAAAAAAATATGTACTATTTTTGAGATAATTGTTAGACAACATACTGCGTCCAAGCTGGTCTGATGGCAGGGGAAGGAGAAGGTGAAACCCAGTGGCAGTCGAGCACTTTTCATTCCCATGTAATCCAAGAAGTCGGAGATGCAGTGCACAATGTGGTCAAAGAGCTGGAAAGAGACATACAGGCTTTATTTTCAATGACTGAAATGTTTAGACGCATCCTGCAAATGTTGTTTATTGTGACTATGACTAAGATGTTAAACAGAAATAGGCATAAGGCTACATCCAAAATAGGGAAAGTAAGACTATTTTTGTTTATTATTATTATTTCTATACAAGCATGAAATCCTTGAGGGCAACAAAGAAACTAAACTGAAAATCATTACCTCTTCTCCTGTGCCCTGCATCACTTCTATGGGAATGGCGTAGATTTTGTTGTGCATTTCGACTGATCGCCTCTTCCCACTGCGTATCTTTACCAGAAGGACGCGGAAGTTTGTCCCTCCGAGATCCAGAGCGAGGAAATCTCCATTCTCTGTATTACAAGAAAGTTCTTGTTAGCCAAAGAATCAACAAAACTTAATCTATCACCACTGAAATAGCCTGGGGGGTTCTGTAGCTTCAGTCTGCCCTTTCAAAACCCATATCTTCCCAGTGGATTCAGGGATTCTAGTTTTTCCACTGTGGAACACCCCCATTCAACACAGTACTGTTCAAACTGTGAAAAGATACAGTGCACGATACGTAAAATAGGTTTACAAAGAAACCTGACATGGTGTCATTTTAACATACCACAAATAGCCACCATTTGGTTTTACTTAAATAATGCAGGGTAAAAGCAAAGAAGTCAACAAGCGATGATGGTTAAACTTAATAATGACGGTGATATGCCTGTAGATCTTTTTGAGGTTTGGAAGAACCTGATTTACTTGTGTTCACTGTCTGATAGTACAGCTCTGATTTTGGAAAACGTCCAAGTAGACAGGCTCTGCTTAAAATTGAGGCGCAAACTAGGGAGCCTCAACTGAACAATAACAGTCAATTTAATTTATGGCCCGCCATTAACCTATAATTAAAAGATGACACAGAAGTCATTGCACCTCTTTGTTGATGTCATGTTATAACTTGACAAGATGTCGTTCAGGTATGCAAACCAACAAACATTTCAAATAAGCCGTGCTGTCTCCAAGTTTTTTGGAGTTTTTTCCTCACACAGTTTTCCTAACTTTTTATAACATTTTGTTTTCTCAGACAGCACAACATGCCGCTTTGATTAGTTACTGCAAAACAAACATATGACGTGATCGATTAACAATTGCTAACGTTCTGAGCTGAGAATAGTTACTTGGTAATGGCATACTACACCTTAAAATAATAAATAATAATGTTTCATGAAAGTGTAATGAATTCCCTCTGACATGAGCAGGTGAGGCAGTAGACCTCTGCCATAATACGTATAGGGAATCTCACTACAACACACCCTATAAATAGATATACTGATGTATTGCATGATCGTATTGTATCATCTTTAAAGGAGAATTAGGAAAAAAAATCCACTACTGTGTACTCCCCCCCACCTGTCTGCATATCTGTCTTTTTAGTCACCTGTTCCATCTGGTGTACTGCGGACAAAGGTTGGTAACATTTTGACTGTAGCCTCCTTGTGGGTTTCCTTTTTGAGGCCTCTTTCGATCTCCACCCTCATGCGTTTCTTTACTTCTAAAAGCTGGGCTTTGCTCAGCCGGAATTCTGCCATAGTCTGCTGAATCTGGCGCGCCTGCTCTGTCAAACGGTACGCCACTGCTGTCACCATGGCTGCGCCTTTCGCACTCCCACTCTCAGACAGCAGGAAGCGGACATCTGAGTCTGGGATCAAGCGACGCACTGTCTTGTGCAGACGGCGAGCATATCTGTTCAGAGAGCAGAAGATATTTTATTGAGGGAGGCTTGATCACTGTAATGAAATCCAAAATGTTAATCTTTGGTGATTCAACATCAAATCTTGTTGGGATGTGGACATAAAGTAAGATACTGTACAGTATTTGAGATGGTCTTAACGTGGTATTTCACACATACACACCTCTTTTCACTGTGAAGTGAAATATTACATTGCTACTTTACTTTTATTGGAACATATTATTATATAATGTAAGCACCAGCACACGAGTAAGTAGGGCAGGGTGAAACTGTTGAAGTAATTATCATGGCATTAATCTGGATATTTTCTACACAGACATTTATCACAATATGGGAATAATTTTCAAAGCAATGCCCTGTATTTCAATGTTATTTTTATATGTTAAACTAAGAGCTCATTTTGTTTGTAACTGAAGCTTAAATAGACGATAATGTTGGATTATAACCCGACCCTACGACCAAATAACCTCTTCGAAAAGCTATTTTATAATGAAGCATCAACCTGGCTTAAAACCGGTAGAAGTGTTAGAGAATAGCGTGGGAGAATCTGAAATCTTCCCACCACTAAAAGGAATGTCTTGTGTGCATCCTCTATATTCCTCAGAGGATCTTGTTTCTTGTTTGCCTTGCCTACGCACCCCAGTTGTCACCCCGTTCTGGTTTTGATGGGGTTTTTTGGGTGGGCGGGGGTTTAAAGGCAAACATGAAGGCTAATTTAGTCAGTAGGAGGCATTACTTTACTTTCTACACAACTCTCCATTCATGTCCTCTCTTAAAGAATACTCACTGAGGGTGCATCTTGTAGAGAGACCCATCGATGCCCACGGTGGTGCGGAGGCGTGCTACTCCTTTGTTTTCCTTTAGGCGAGCAAGGATGCCTCCCAGTGTTGAAGCAATTAGGTTTGCGGACCGGAAGGACACTATGGTGCACACATGCTGCACAGCCAGACAGTCTTCATCTGAAGGCTCCACCCCGAGCCTTGTCAGGATTTCCATACATTTCTTCAGTCCTTCTTTAGTCCTAAAAGGTTAAGTATTTCTTGTTATTAATGATCTCATCATGCTATTGGAGAAAAGCAATAAACTAGCATTCGTTTAAACTCCAGATGATCATTTATATGTTCACAGTTTCATGCCCTTAAAAGGTGGAAACAAAATCTATTTTTAATTCCTATAAGAATCTGCAATTATGTTTCCCTGAAAAAATAAAATCATATTTTTCCCTTGTGCATTACACTGCAAGTCATTCTCCCCACTCACTTTTCAATGGCAGAAACATGTTTCGTCTCAATCTTTCCTTTCGTCAGGAGCTCAGGGGTTATCCGTCCTTCAAATAGCAGCCCCTCTTTGGCCATCTTGACCAGGATGAGTCGAACCAGCTCTCCCATGTACATCCCACTGGCCATCTTTTCAAACCTGAGCAGAGAGAAACACAGCAGCATTTTAGATGATGTAAAACTTACCAAATGGTGGCTATTTGTTGAATGTTAAAATGACATCATGTCAGGTGTCTTTGTAAATCTATTTTACGTATCGTGCCCTGTATGTTTCACAGTTTCAACAGTACTGTGTTGAATGTGGGTGTTCCACAGTTGAAGAACTAGAATCCTTGAACCCACAGGGAAGATATGGGTTTTGAAAGGGCAGACTGTAGGTACAGTATCCCCCAGGTTATTTCAAGCAGGACATTTCTCAGAAAGACTATTGATTGGTAAACTCTTGCGTGAATGAATAAAGGTTTGATGGAAAATCTTACAGCTGCTTTCCTGGGTTGATAGAGCCCCTGTCAATCTCTCGGTCAAACTCTGTGCGAATGTCCTCTAGGGACCCGTTATCCCCGAAGGCACCCCACTCGGTGTTGATACACATCCGCCCTTCGTCTCCTTCCACCAGGTCAATGTGACGCAGTTCCTCCATGTAGCTGGCATTTGTTCCCGTTCCTGAAAGGATGCAGAGCTGCATGACTTTTGCTCTGTGGAGCTCAGTAGGCAGAGTGCATTGTCCCACTGAGGCCAGTGTTACGGTTACAATACCTTTGGCGCCCCCACATGTAGAACTGTGAACATGGTACTGTAAGGTGCTTTGGATATATGTGTTGACTTAATCTGCTTTTTGCTCAAATTAAAACACTCTGATCAAAGATTAAAGCACACTGCTCTATAATTTTAATGTTAATAAGTAATTTATTCCCCCAAAAAATGTCATCTGTACAGTGTTTACCTATGATGATGCCCACTTCACAGCGCTGATCATCAAATCCGCAGGTCATCATTGTGCCAACTGTGTCATTCACCACCGCCATGATGTCTGCCTCATAATCCTGTAAAAACAGGATTATGTTTATCTCAAAACAAAATCAAAAATTACCATAAGCAGACACATTTTAACATCATTGATGGAACAATTTTCTCTTTTAACAATTGCATTTTGACTAATAAAATAGTTTCCATGGGTAGTGTATTTTGAAATTTGTCAAACAATAAAACTATGAAATTAAATGTTACTTTTTGTATACCAGAAAAAGAAAAAACTCACCCCTCGTTTCTTGATGGCCTTGTTCAGAAGCTTCACAACATCCATGCCTTCTACACCACTGGCTTTAAACTTCTTTGTCCATGTCAAGAGGACCGCCTATAAAACAAGTTGTTTTATAAGCCAAGCTTTAACTTAGAGTTAGACAGGCTTGGCAAGTCCAAAAATGTCTGTCCATTGCTATTCCAACCACGGTATCAGTTTCCAACAACACATTTGGTTTACTAACACTTCTTCTTAATGGTACTGGGAGCACAATTTCACATTATTTAGCTATTCTGCAAAAGCAAAAACTTCAAAAAGCAGTTTTTATAAAATATATTACAATTCTCACACACAGTCCTTAAACATCATCCATCACACATTTGATTTGGGAACCTTATACCTCAAGAATTGACAAATGAAAGAAGGAACTTCAGACTATACAGCACATTTGTTTAAGTGCTTACCTCATCTAGTTTAGACTGGGCACAGGGGAAGGAGAACGTAAATCCTACAGGAAGCTTTTTATCCTTGATTTTTTGCTTCTCCATGAAGTCGCTCAGGCAATCTGCAACATGGTCAAAGAGCTGCAGACAGGAAAAGGACTTTAAATTAACAAGATAACAAAGCAAAACCTTTTACCAAAAACAGCATCTAACAAACATTTGACTTTTCTCTTATCTTTTACCACACATGTAGTGTCTGACAAAATGAGACATTCCTGATAAGGGAAGAATATCAAGTATAAAAACGCAAATGTAAGTAAACATTTAAATATTTGTGTCACTGTCCAGTTTATTAGTTACACCTAACCAAAGCTCATGCAGTCTTAATTCAACAGCCAAATTAGTTGTTCATAAAGCTTATAATGTGCAAGGCAATGGAATGGTATTTCAGTAACTCAATATTGAAACACCTCTCAGTATAACACAATACAGTTCATCAGCACTGTAACTTACAATCTCCAAAATGACCATAAATTAAACCAAAACCTCTCTAAAATAGTGTACATAACGATAATGGAGGCGAGATAGATTGATGCAGATACAAGATCAAGACTCATAGCAGTATATTAATAACTTCATTGGTTTCTAAGCTTTTAAATCGCTATACTGTTGGAAGGGAAATATGTAAACAACTAAATGTCTTTTGCGATTTTGACTCTGATGAAGGCTAGGCTAAAAAGTTTTGCTTCATATTTATGTTGTATGACCAGATCACTCCCCATTAAAAGAAAACTTCCTTGTTAACAAACATGTTGATATAGCACATTACATTTTTGGCCAGCTGTCCCCTTGACATTTCATTAAACAGCATCTGTCTTTGCTCTGTCTGTGGAAGTCATGCTTTGATCCAATCACACAGCCTCAGACAGTGGCTCATGTTGTGGTTCTCATGTTACAATACGGCTGCCAGCTGTTCTCTACAAGTTCAGTGAAGGTCAGCGTAGGTTCCGACTTCACTCTCATCGCTCCCAGCGTTATCGAGGAGGTCATTTTACACGTATTGATCCTCGGCCTGACCTTAAATGCTGCTGTGCTCTGTGTGCAAGGCAGACACAAACATTGAATATTTTGAGAGGAAACAGATGAGTGTCTGACCTGGGTCATACAGTATTTGCTAAGTATTTGCTGATGATAAGGATTACATCATGTGGACAGTTTAGATAGCATCTGGTGCATGTGTTTAGTAATATCCATCCAGACTGTCGAACCCTGATTCCTGTTTCAAAACTAAGACTCTAAATATAGTATATATTTGTGTTTACCCGTGACCCGCTGCCATGGATGATGTCATCAGGGGTGTCATAAACCTGGCTCTCCATTTGAACCGGCTGCTTCTTGTCCTGTGTGACTTTGACACGCAGGATCCGAAAGTTTGACCCCCCAAGGTCCAGAGCTATGAAGTCCCCCTTTTCTGTCAAAATGAAAACACAGATAAATGTTTTAGGTTTGAGGTTTGTACTTTGCAATAAAGTACAGCATGTAAGTAGTGCTGTAATTTCTCCTTCCTTTAGATTCTCTGTTAATGAAGTTTGTTTAGATGAGCTATTATTTACCTGTATAGCCACAGTGGCTATCATGATCATCTGAACTTCAGTATTAAAAACAAACCAGAAAACAGGATTTGGTTCAGGTGTGCCAAAGGATTTGTTTAATGGAAACACATAACTTGATTTAGTAAAACTGATGTCTGTGACCGAACTTAGGGCTACCATGGACCAGCAAATTAGAGTTTGCTGTTGTCAGGTGAACATCTCCTAAATATAAACTTTTAGGGAGTCAAGAAAAACCCTTGTTTAACATGCATGACACTGTATTTTTAGCATTGTCAGCCAATGGGTTTTAAGGAGGGTTTTGTGATTTTTAAAGAATTTTAAAATTATAAAAATTGAAGACCTTGCACTGAAAGTTGGGGTCAGTCATTGTGGAGAAAGATAGTCTCTTTCCCAGGTGGGCAAATACAGACGCTCTGACAACCCTCTGGGGAGGGGAGCATGAACGCCACCTGTTGTGTTGTGTGGCTCACTTGTTTTGAGTTACCAGACCCCGGACGGTTCTAATGGGAGGATTTTATTAGTGTTTGATTGTCTATTAAAGGTTACTGTGTCCATCAGCAACATCAGTGCTCCTTCAGGTTTGTTTGTCTTACTCTTGACATCTCATTATTGGGATGCAGATGATGGCAGTGTATCCAGATTTGTGGCACATGTAATAAGACGCACAAACAACAAACTTATAATTAAGGTTGGTAATAGAATCGGCCACAACCTGAACTCCTTCAGAAACTAAAAGCCTGAAAAGGGAAGTGCCACACAAGCAAACAAAATGACCTTATTTTGAGATGCACTTTAGCACAACCCTTTTATGTGAACGGAGCCAACAGCCAGGTGCTCAGGTAGAGGCTCACTCCAGGCAACACGCCAAAACGTAAATGTACCCTCCGTTGAGAGAAGCTTTCTTGTAACATTAAATATAGTGTTTCATTTACTTTATTCCAAAACGAAACTTGTTTATATTTACCATTATTTTAAAACTACAGGTGATTACATCATCATGTTCTAAAATAGTACTAATTTGTCAGTGAATGTAACAAGATAGCTAATAATTTCTGATATTTTACCATTTGGATCCTATTGCGAGTAGTCATCAAAGTGTGCCGTAGCTTTCTTTTTAAACAGTTGTATTCTCATTTTGGATTAATATGATTAATTTAGCTTTTAGGCATTCATCTGACACTGATCTAGAGTGAGTTACAATGAAAGAATAGAGACGGATTAAGTGTCTTGCAAAAGGACACTGCAACAAAACACATGATACTGTGTGGATGTGCATTTAACTGTTGCAGGGATCAGACCTGTGACCTTTCGGTAACAAGCAAACAGCCTGGACATCCTGCCTCCCAGCAGAACAATGTTCTTCATTTAGTTCCACCATGACTGTAGTGTTTGCTGCATTGCGATATTTATCTCCCTGACCTGACTGGAATGGGATGTGACCAGGCTTACATATAGAAGTGTTACTGATTTGCAGAAGGTCATGTGTCCATTTTATAGTCCTGTCCCACTGTAATCTCAGTGCTGGTATATGTGAGCCGCCACTTCTTGGTATATATACATGTTGGAATCGCAGTATTTATTGCAGTAGTTTTATAACTAAACCCATAGTGTTGACTGTGTTGAGTGTTATTATGTCTTTGGATAAAGTCCTGTCAGGCATAAACTATTATAATAAAAACTCAGGATAAAGATGCACAAGCACAGAGACAAACTTAATGTGAGGATTTACTATAATTAGCCAGCAGAAATGTGGTTGTCATGCTTAAATTTGATCCTGGCTATAATACTGCCAACAAACCCGGATGTTTACTTAGTTTTCAAGAGATATAATCCCCAAAAATTAGAGCCAGCTGAAGGTGTGGTCATATTGTACATTTAGATCCTAAAAGGTATCCATGTCAAACTTTGTCTCCATGGACTTTTCCAGAGCTCAGGCTTGTTGGGTGAATCTGAACAACCGAAAACACACTTGACCACAGAGCATTGTTTGCTGTGCCACAGTTAGCCGGAGACTGAGCGTTGAATGATCACGTCTGGCTTCTGAACTTTTGAGAGCCATCACTTCTATATTGTGACCATTGCCTCCAATAGCACCATATTCATTGCAGGGAAGAGAGTGAATTTGGTTGCATAACCGGTAATGTGATCAGGCTTCACCCAATGTGTGAAGCTCCTCTAACTTTCAACCACATCTCTCACTGTTATCATGAGCTCTCGAAAAAGCTAAATGGACCTTGAGTTAAGATTGTTTTTGTCAAGCCCCATGTTTGATACTATTTATGAGCAGCATTTTTTGTTGTTGTTTGTTGTCAGTAATAGCCATTGAGTGCAAATGCAACCTTGAATAGCCTCTCTACTGTATATTGTACAGTTGTCTTCATTGTTGTCCATCTTTTCTGCTCCAGATTCACAGAAAGCATTAATGCACATATGGGAAGAGATGCAGAAACATTCAATTATTCTTCAGTTGATGCTCAGTTGATGGTTTCCAGATTGAAATGAGGGACATTTTGAGATTAGCTTTCTTTCTACATTTTTATCTTTATTACCTTTTCCCCTAATAAGTATAATGGTATTACACAGTAAAGATTACTCTGAACAGACATCATTACAGCTTAGCTATGATTTTATTTGCCATTTACCTTTAAAACACAAACATCTGCCCCGAGGGATTAAGATTATTACAGAAACTACATGTCATAGTCGAGGATAGGTTATGTTTTATTCTTGTTGCTACAGTCGTCCTTCCCATCATGTCCGTCATTTCTGACCAGGCTTTCAAACGTTTCACTGTTGCCATGGCTTCAACTCTGCCCTTTGCTGGATCCCTCTGACCTCGTGTAGTTGTTGAAACCTGAGGCTATTTATAATGTGAGAGAAGGCAGAAGGCAGTGTGGCCTGTTCCTCTCCACTGGCCTTGTTCGGGTCGCAGTATGTCTGACAGGCACTCGGTGTTATTTCTGTGTACTCGCGCTGTTTACTAACGAGGACAAGCGAACAGGCTCAGTCTGAGGAGCGAAACCTCTTGACTTCGGCCAAGAATCTGTTTAGACGAGCCTTTCTGAGGCGTGGTTTGTTTTCTCGGGGGACATTTAGACCATTAAAGTAATCCTGCTTTGTCAGAGAACACTCACACACATTTAGCAACAGCTTCTCTTTGAGGAATCAAAATTATTACGGTCAATTTTGTATTTTTCCACTTGTTTCTCCCGTAAATATATTATTGCACCCTATAAACATTTGGTCATTAAAATAGTGGGAATAGGAATTAGTGTTTTTTTCTCCTTAACTTCATTATGATAACCCGTGATTTAAAATAATAATAATGTTATTTTATTTATAGTCTTTTAAATTATGCATATTATTACAGCTTTTCATACCACCAAGTCCCAAACTCTGATATTTCTGTTTTATTCCTTTTTAAAAATATTCTATCCTATTTGAAATTTTCTCTATAGCTTTCACTCATAGACATTGCTAACATTATGACTCCTCATCTAACGGCGATATAGAACTCTAAGCGACCATTAAATCGTCTCATAAAATTCAAATCAAACTGACATTCGGAGGTTTTCATCTGACACTGTTGTTGGCTGCGTGTTACGAGACTGTTATCACGCTGCTGAACTGTTTGGCCCCGGGACTAAAACAATTGTGATCTACTGAGACCAAATCCAGAGCACAACACAAAGAGGCTTATGTCACTGAACAGGCCTGACGATTTTACCCCATCAGCACATTGTTTATAGACAGATAGAAACGCAATACATCTGGCGGCGCTTTAACGCGCGTACAGTATAGATAGACTGTATATAATGTAACAAAGACACTTTACTCTTTGTTAAGTTATGTTTTGTTTTGTCTGAATGGGATCACTTTGTCTTTAATGTCACTGAATTTGTCGGCCTCATGATGTTGTCTTTCACACAACAGTGATGTTCCCCATTTGTAGTTATAAAACTAGATTTTGAACTGTTGTTGTCTTGATGAACTAAAAGTGTACTGTATGCTCTTCTGAATATATATGAATATATCAATAATAAGAATTTATAAAACAGAAATAAAATATTAATTTGTTTGTCCTTTCTAGCAACTATTTGCTGAATCGATGAACCAAGTCTGCCAAGGCACACATCAGAGTTTCCTTAAGGACACCAGGAACTGATGCTGGGGAGTGGCAGGTAATTAAATATTAAACAAATATTTCAAGTCGAGCTAAATATTTATAGCGGACCTTCATAATTTCCAACTGATACCTGACAGAAAGTTCTTTTTACACCAAGTGGTTAACATTTTTCTCTGAGATGTACAACTTATTAAAGTTACTCTCCCTGATTTTAATGAAGTGTCTCCAAGTCCCAAATCTTTCTAGTTTTAAAACCCCAGAAAATATCAAAAGTGAACTGGGATCTCTTTCCTTAAAGCATCTTAAAGGTTCCATATGTGAGAAGCATTTACGTATTATTTTTATTTACTTTTATTGCCAATGTTTACGGGTTCTAACATAACTTACAAAATTGTTTCTATGTAGGGATACGGATCGCATTTTCCGTATATGACTTTTATCCACGCTCCAAAGTGCCTAGCTTCATCCAGACCCCCAGGGGTTATTCCGCGTTGCTGGGATGCAGCTGGCTGGCTGACTAACCGCTCGCTTCATCCTTAGCAAAATACTATTTGAGTGGATGTGTTTGTTAGCTAAGGTTAGCTTGCAAAATGACAGCTCATGTCAATATGATACTAACTTATGTGTAATGACAAACGTGTTGACTTTAGTCAACAATAAATGATGTAACAGAACAAAGTTTTGGGATCTGTGAGAGGTGATGGACACTTTACCAAAATCAGGTAGAATGTCAAACGCATTCAGTTATCACAGTGATGTTGTTTTTGTCCTGAGAATCTTCATGTAAACTGTACCTGATCCATCAGGGATGGACCTGACAAAGGTGGGCAGCATCTTGACGGTGGCGGTGGGGTTGGTGTCACGGCCGAGCCCGTTCTCCATTTCCCTGCGGAACCGGTTCATGATGTCCTTCAGCGTGTCATCCGAGAAACGCATGGAGTACAGGTACTTATCAATCTGAGGAACAGGCACGGGACACAACACAGTATTCAAAATGTGCCAAATTATTAAAAAACAAGAATCACTTTTGTTTTTGTTTTTTACATCCAGTAAAGGCATAACAACATAATCCAGACAGGCTATGCAGTTAGGGCATTTTCAGATGAAGTTATAGTGTGAAATGCAACTGAAACAGTACTTGTAAATATCAGTGTAACCACAGTGCAAGGGGTAATGAACTCAAGGTAACCATAGCAACATTACTGATGCTTCCAGCTTTGTTATTGTACCATGTGTACAAACTGACTGAATTTTAACTTGACTTAAAAATTTAACTAGAAATGAAAACATTTAAACACTGGTAACTAGTTTTCCTCCAATATGGTATAAACATATGCACTGTGAGGGATCCTGATGAAGAATATAGTGAACTCTGCATTGTTTACCTCAACCTCATTTATTTTTTTCCTATGTAGGGACACCTCAGATTGTGTTACCATTAACTAATTGAATGAGATGCATGTTGGGAGATTGGGTAGTCAGTCTAAGTGGTAATTAAAAAATCAATACATTGATTCACTTAACACAAAGTACCACATATTGTGAGAGCGAGCTTGAGCCAATGTAGAAACATTTAAACATGAGACAGTTAAAAGAATTACTGTAGTACAACACCAGGTGGAAATACTTTCAATATGTCTTATGCCTTTATAAAATGCCTTATCAGTCACACAGCAATATAATAATCAGTTTGTTTAAAATAGCAACAATTACTGCAGTTTAATTGTTGTGTTAAAGTAAATGCATCTAATTAATGGGATGTTTGATAAGAGGGATCGGCCCTGGACAGTCACTGTTATTGTTACATAATCACACAGTGGATGCCATGTGGCACACCACAGTTCAGAAATCCATTCTGTGCCATGAAAGCACAGTCCATGCATTTCTCATCAGGCTACTCTGTGTGGCATTTCTATTATTAGCCTCCTAAATTATAAGACTAATCAAATGTAAAGTAACATTACAGTAATGTTATGTCATGATGTCCTGAAATCACAGGAGCCAAATCCCTCCTTGTTCTATTCCTGTCTTCTGCTGTCAACCTTATAAGGCTGTATGCCAAAACATTGATATTTTTGTTATTATTCAACTTCATTAGCGCTTCTTACATTTCAGGGTTCCTTTAAAATCGATTAAAAACAAAACAGTATCACCTAACTTCTGTATCCGCTTCTTCCAACATGATTCCCATAGTGAGTTAAATATTTAAACCCAAGGTGCCATGTTATTTATTCATTTTTTTATTTTCTCCAGATAATTTGGAATTCCTGCTGCCTTTTAAATAAAGTGCTGTGTGTTTGAACAGTGCCTGGCTGTTTAACATGCGCTTGTAAAGCGGAACTTCAGATGTGAAAAAGGTTGATGCTCTTTTATAATGATGCTAATTCTGTCTTTTTTTTTAACTATTACTATTTTGATATTATTCTGTAGAACAGGCAGAAAGTCATTTTGGTAACTGCTACATTTCTTTATATGGTACGCAGTGCACCAGTCATATCCAGGATATACATGGTTGGATAACTTCTGATTCACCCCAGTAGAGGCTGTAGTAAATTCCACTAACCCACTTCAGCAGAGACACGTGCATCCACTGCACTGTGACATCACACATGACATCATAAATCTCCCACTCCCCCTTCATCTCATCTGAGATGTGCCTGGGAACATGTCACCGGTTTGACATCCCATCAGTGAGCCCAAGGTCAGTTTCTCTAGATGACCAGAGGCTTTATTGCAGCTCAGATTTCACTGATGGCAATATCTGTGTTCTGCTAATGAGTTTATGACGTCTTTGCCCCTAGGTAATAAGAGAATGAGTGAGTAAACTGGGGAAAGATGAAACAGACGAGAGAAACCGTGACAGAGAGTAAGAATCTGTGAGCGGGGAAAGCAGCCAGAGAGGGAGGAGATTGTGGAGCTCACGACTTTTCCCCACAGTCCCTCACAGACACCTGTCTGCTTCAGACGCCCTGGCAACCGACGCTCCGGAAACACTCGATAACTAAGGTCTGTCTGCAGCCCACCACCACCATCACTGACCACAGCCCTTCTCAAGGACATCCATGTCAAACTATGCTAACCCCTAAGGAAGCTAGAATAGAATCAAATCCAAATTATAATTCATCATGGCCTCCGTTTCCTCTACTTCCCAAATGCTGCATCCTCCTCTCCCAGCTTGATACGCCCCACAGGCTCAATGCTGACATGCAGCTACCGTTAACCGGCATCCATGGCTGATGTCACATTACACAAGCCTCCGGTCCAACACAAAAGGACCACTGGTGCAGTTAAAAGCTGCTTTTCACTCACCTTTTTGAGTTGATCATCCTTCAACTCGGTGAAGTAGTAGGCCAGAAGCTGAGCTGCTATCATCCTGCCTGCACGTCCGCCAGGAGCTGTCAGCAACTACGAGGTTGTTAGAGAGTAAAGAAGGAGAGAAAGGAAGGCTGCCGTCTGTTCTCTCCTGTCCCCCCACGCTGATCCCTCTTTATCCTGAAGTGGAGGAAGAAGCAGGCCTGTGCTGAGCACCGTGGCAAGGCAAGGTTAAAAGGAAAAAGTCTGGTGAAACAAGAGTGCAGCAGTGGCCGTGCCTGCTAGTCTGCGACAGGCACACACACATACACACACACTCACACACACACACCTAAACACACAAACACACACAGAGGCTGGGTTTGACCGTGTCTCCTCCCTCTGAGCTGCTAGCTCCCTGTTAGCTCTGGGGAGATGCAGCAGCTCTGCACTGGAATGGTGGTTTTGTTATGCCCTGCCCCCACCGAGGCCTCTGATTGGCTGAGCTGTGTGTGGACGTGAAGCAGGGGAAGAAGGGGAGGGGTAGATGAGAGGAGGGGGGGTTCTTCTACAGCAGCAAGGGGAGTAAGGAAGACAGAAAGAGGGGGAGGGGGGACTGTGAGCTGAAGCAGGAAGCTGCATCTGCATGATAACCTGCCTCTCTCCTCCCAGCAGCACGGAGAGCCAGAGACCTCCCCTAGCCGGCACGTCTCGCATGTCGCCATGGCACCCAGAGGTGTACGTGCAGAGGGACAGTGCTACTGCACGATGATGTCATCATCCCTCTTCCCGCTGCATCACACGCAGCATCAGCTACAGGCTGAAGGGCATCAGATACAAGCTGAACTGCCCAACCATCTCCCAACAGCTCCACACATACTACACTTAAAGAAACAGACTGGTGACTGACAGTTTCTTATCTCCCACTACACCCTCCCCTCCCACAGCAACTACTGTCATATTCCCTTCAGCAAAACACCCAAAGATATGCTGGAGCACTCGCACGTTGGCACGTAAGTGCTTGAAAATCGGCTTCAATATTCGTTCTTGACATTGTCAAATATTCTAAACACAAGAATTAATCACTTAGCTGTTCTTGAAATATTCAGTTATATTCGTTTTTATCAGTCTGTGGTGTTTATACTTAAAAATTTGAAGAAGAATAACAGACAGAAGAGTGGAAAAGTACCACTATGATTCTCACTTAGGGGTTCCTATTTCAATTTCCAGATGTGCCCCCAATTCATGTTCAGTCCCTGGCCTAGAAGAACCTAGACGTAACTTGTGGTGCAGACACTCACCACACTTTTATTTGCCTTGGATAAATAGCAAGCAAAAAAATGTTGGTGAGAGCAATTTCCTAAACCAAAAGCCAATAGAAAACATAAAGTTAAGTTCTTCCTGTTTTCGATTACATACTTAATACTGACTCTGACTCTAACCACGTTTTGAGTATGTTGTATGATTACAATGAAAAGATGTTAAAAAATGCACTAGCCCACTACATTTGCTACCTTTTGAGTTTGAAGTTACTCACAACTGAAAAAGAGAAAAAGTATGTGGACACAAAAGCTCAGTCAACAGTAAACCAAACAAAAACATGAATAGAAAATAATCTGAAAGACATTTTTTATTTATTTATGTATGTTAACTGCAGTTTTCTGTTAACATTTGGACAGTATCAGAGTATTGGTGAGCTGAGTTTCTGTTCTCCCAGGTAGTTAATTACATTCAGTTGCAACTCCAGGTGTAAATCAGTGACTGATTAGGCTCATACTAAAGTTAGTTAGTTAGTCAGTTAGTTAGTTATTTTCTTCTGTATCTGTGGTTCCTACTAACATTGTGTGAGTAACTCTTCTGTTAGACTTCAAGAGATTATCAATAACATCAGCACTACATTTTTAATGAAATGTACAAAACCCAAGATTGACCTTAGCTGAGCCATGCTATACATTGTGGTGGGTGTTCATTGTTTGGCCTTCTCTACACCACACTAGCAGAATACGGGCTGGGCCGCTAAAATGCAGAAATATTGCAGTATCACTGTTGTGCTGTTGGATCTTGTAAGAACTATACAAGCTAGAAGTCACTGAGACATTTAGCATCCTTCCATCCTCTAAAATGTGCTGATGTGTGTTTTGTCTGCAGTAATATTGATTGAATGCGTCTTCAAACTGTGACACACTTTTAAGAAAAATAACCCATTCTAATTATGGGGCTCCCCTCTTTGAATTGCTTGTGAGGCCTGATGCAACAAATCACACAATTGCTATCTATAGTCAGAGATGACCCCCTCTTTCTCTCCCCCTGCAGCTCTGTTACGTCACCACGCTCTGCGTAAAACGACCCGTGTCTGCTGACTCAATGACGTGCGAAAGCCTCTGACGGACTTCCCTCCCTGATTGCCCCTCTATCCTGCCCACAATCCCCCCTCCTCCTCTGTCCCGTCTTACTGCCAGCTGCAACCACGAGTCAGTGAGTGCATGAATGAAAAGAACGGCTTCCCTGTACCATCTTTCCCCCCTCTGTGCCCCAGAAGAGCTGCTCAAAAGGGAGACTGAGAGGAGGGAGGGCTAAGCATTCATTCACTCCCCTCCGAGGCAGAATGTCCTGCCTGCTGTCATGGCTGCTTAAGGGTGACCTTCTCTGGTGACCTTCACATGGGTAGTTGATTCGGTGTCACTACTAATAGAGACTGCTGACACACAAACCCAATAAACACCCATTGCAATATTTCCACAGTATATAAGCATTGAATTGATGCTTAGGCAGAGAACAAATTGCATTTGAGGGGGATTCAAGGAGTTATAAGCTGTAGAACTGTCATTTTAGTTTTTAAACGTGGAGATTCATCTTCATTCACTGGTTCTTCAACTTCTCAAATGTGAAGATTTGCTGCGTTTCTCTCTTTTACAACATTATATTAAGTATCTTTTGGTTTTGGAGTGTTGGTCGGACAAAATATGGTATTTGATGACGTTACCTTGGACTCCTGGAAAATTGTGATGGGCAATTTTAACCATTTTTGGACATAAACTGGACATCTACACAATCAGTAGAAATTGGAAAGATAATGAAAAGAAGTGTTAGTTGCAGCCCTAGCTGTGTGGACCAGTGGAAGTGTGTCAGCAGTGTTTACTACACACACCCACACAAATGAAAACAGGATTAATAGTTGAATTAGACAAAGTTTGCACTTCATATATAAATGTGTGTAAAAAGCAATAAATCTGCACCTTTAATTACTAAGTCATAAAGGTTTTTGTAGCAGGATTTCTTGTTATTTAAGAAACAAAGAAAGTTAGAGGTCAAAATGATAAGGGTTCATCCCTCGGAAACTCTTTTTTAGAAAATTTGACACCAGTTAGATTATGAGATTATATAACTTGCTGCTTCAGGAAAGCTCATGCTTCCTGGAACCTGAATGTGCTCAGTAAATGTCATGGTAATCCACTCAATAGATTGTGTATGCATGATGTCTCTGATGGTGCTGCTACAGAGAAAGGTCAGGGGGTCTCCAGAATCATTAGGCATCTTTTGTGGAAAGCAGGCCAGTAGTTTTCGGGATGTTTTGTCCTCGCTAAAGTTTTGTTAGAGAGAAGTTCTGGCATGACAGTGTGTCAAAGAAAAGGTTAAGGGCTCACATAAGTCTGTGGTTTGCAAACTGGGGTCCAGGGACCAATAGGGGTCTTTGAATGGGTTGTAGGGGGTCCCCAGCAAAAGGAGGAATAAAATATTTTAACTTTTATCACTTTTTTTTTGAAAAGTTGGAACAAGTGAAGAAATAGGTTTGCCAGTTTGTATTTATTGTAATTTATAGTGATCCTAGTTTTATCATTGATTGACTATGAAGACTTATTTAAACCTTCAAATATAAAAAAATACTCAGAGGGAGTTTCCTTAAGACAACACCCTCTTAAATCGGGGGTCCTTTGTCTCTATTCTGGGGGTCCTTGACCAAATACAATTGAAATCAGGTGTGATATTAAGATATTTTGCTTATGATCAGAGTGTTGGACTGATGAATGGACCACATGACAAACATATCCATCCTCTCAAAGAGTCCATCGTCAGAGGAGAATGTTGCTTTGCAGTGAGGAGGCCCCTCAAACTTGTGAAATTCCTGCTCATCATATTATCATGCTCCAATAATCTCCTTTATTCCTACTACAAACATGCCGTGTACTGGGGCCAGAGAGAGGAAGGAGACAGGAATCCAGCAGGAGATCCACAGTTGTACACACACACACACACTCATACATGTGTCAACTGGCATACATTACTATCATTATGTTTATTCTCCATGTGATTAAAACATTTGGGAAAGCTTAACTTCCTAAATTGTTCATATTTGAACTGTATTTTACTAGAGATGCACCGAATATTCGGCCACCGACAATTTTCGGCCGAAAATGGCTCAAATGCGCATTTTCGGTTTTCGGCCAAAATACTTTTATCACCGAAACA